GGGAGTTCTTGACGTGAAGCAAAGGACAGCTATGAAGTAGAACTCAGAACTATCATTGTATGATCGTGTTCTTTTATATTAGATGCTTTGCTGAATATTTAAAAAATGAGCACATGATGATCTCTTTTAAGTCTTTATATAAGTTTCAAGACTTGAATACTTATAATTGCAAGTTTCTTATTAAGAAACCATTATCTTTTTTATTGTACCAAATAGCAATGTTACAATTCCATTCCACCCCCTGCGAAGCAGGGCCCCTCCGCTAGTTCATAATTAAAGTGAGGGGGTATTTGGTAAAGTTGAAAGCATCTGTAACCAAAATGCCAAAAAGGATCTCTTACCAACTGGCTTGCTGGTAAATGTCTCGACTCTCGAACTATTGTAGCGTAGAGTTGTGGATAGGTCTTTGGTTGACTGCTTGCCTGATAAGTAGCTGAGGCTTAAATCAGGAATAGGGGTGGCCATGAGTCGAGCTCTTCACGAGCTACTCGAGCTCGACTCGTGAAAAGCTCAGCTTTGCTCGGTTTCAACCGAGCTTCGAGTCAAGCTCGAATAATATATATATTATTTACCAACAAGTATAGAAAATAATATATATATATATATATATATATATTTATATATAATAAAAATATTATAATTCTTAATTTTTTAAATATGAAATAAAATATATTTTTTATATATAATTTTTTTTTTATTTTTATAAAACATTTTTTCTCAAATCGAGCTCGAGCTTAATAGTTTTTTACTCGAGCCGAGCTTGATCTTAAGGTTCTAGCTCGAACCGAGCTTGAGCCTTACACTACCTTGGTGAGCCGAGCTCGAGCCTCATACTATTCAGCTTGGCTCGGCTCGAATCTCCCCTGATCAAGAATGAAGCACAGGAGTGTATCGACATATTGGCCTATATCGGCTGATACGTATCATTTCGGGAGCTCCCCAATACGCCCCTACAGAGAGTGTGTCGGGGTTCTGATCGGTTCAGGGGTGGCCTTAAACCGGCCCCCTGAACTAGTTTTGAAAAAAATAAGAAAAAAAGTAAAAAAATATTATCATATCACTTGGTACGCCCCTACCAGTGTATCGGTTATATCGATATTTAATGGAGGGTGGATAAGTTGATGGGTTACGAAAAAGGACTTAAAAAAATACCATATTTGTGATTTAGCATTCAATTAATGGGTTTTATGGAAAAGAATGATTCTTGAGCGAATAATTTCCTAGGATAAAAATACCCTCATGACATTTGGGTAAATAAGTTTCTTGTTGGCATAGAAAATTGCTAATGTATGAGAATTAAGCATCATTCATTTTTCTTGTTGCCACAGTGAAGACCGGAGAATGATCATTAAAATTAAGCAGTAATTTTGCTTATTAACGCTCTACATGACTCCGGATCTCTTGCTCACAAAAATTTTGTCCATGCCTACCCACAATACACCACTCCCCGTGAATTGGAAATATCTCTCCTTACATAATACTATACAGAGGATGAGATGTTCTCCATGTATGATTGCAATAAACATAGGCAGGGTTCTCGTGGGCAAGAGATCCGGGCTCTTCATACATCGTACGGATCCCTACTACTATAATAAATTTAACATTTCATATTTATATTAATTTATTATGTATATATAAGTTAAAAATAATTAATTTTTTGAAATATGAAGTCGGAGTAAGTTCAGATGGGATTTTGGGTTAAGTCGGATTAATTTTTTGAAATACGATCCGGGCTCCTCATAATTCTTTATTTAAAAAAATGAAATGAAATGAAGTCGGATTAAGTCCAATTGCAATCCGAGTCCGATAGGATTTTGGGTACCCTTGTAGGTCGGATGGGATTTGGATTTTGCTAAATCCAATCCGTTTACTTTCCTGCTCAGAAGCCATACCCCTTTTTATTAAGTTCAGATGGGTTTGATTTTATCAGGTTAATCGGGAGCACTCACAGTCACAGCCCCATAAGCAATGCATAGATGGATGTGGATGATGGGTGAGGATGGGCATGTGGGTTCTGCTCAGGCCTGATTCTTCCCCGTCGTCCCACAAATACCTATCCTAAATAGTTGCCTAAGGCTATGTTTAGGGAAAGGACTTTTTCCTTGCCTAAGTGAGCCAAGGCTATATTTAGAAGAGTTATGTATGTTACCAATATGAACCGATCAGGTTTGGGCTTTGGCAGAGGATTGATTCAACTAAATCCGACTCAAAGAATGATCGGGTTTACCACTTTACCCGACCCGACCCACTAGACCAGACTACATAAATCAAAATTTGGAGTGTGAAAAGACATAACAAGGGATAGACATCTAAATGCAAATGTCATTGATGAGATGACAATATTAATCTGGAAAGTTGACCACCCATGGGCCATGGCCGTCTCACTACTTATCTTCAGCCTACCAGCTGCTATCCTCATATGTTCCTCACAAGTCACAATTCAAATGGTCACACTGCTTTTACCTTTAGCAATATTTACCTGGAAATAGTTTTGAATTTGACGGTTTCAACACATACCTCATACTCCTAGGGTTCATTGTTTCCTGCGGAGATGCTTAGTTCATGCTCTTCCTGTACTGTTGGAATTGGCACGGCACCATGCCCATTTAGATCCTCTTTGCTCTCTGTGCCCATGGTAGGGACTAAGGAGGATGTTCTGATGTTCACCAACCACTTATTCTTCACTTTCCTGCTACCACACCTGTTTGGCTGTTTCAGTTTGGTTTGCCTCTAGCCCTTCTATGAGGGTGGATTCTAGGCCTAATTGGCGCCTTCACGACTGGGTGCAAGCATTTTGTGGCACATTTGGAAAGACCGTTTAAGTCAATTATGGAATAGTTTGATCCTCTTTCAGGTGTGTTTGCTGTCCATGCCCAATAAGGGATGGAGGTCCATATTGAAACAAATAGGTAGTGCTGCCAATGGGTCAGGTCTGACCCGATGGACCCCGATCCCATTGGGCCGGTTCTGGTTCCAATATCTATGTCAATGGATCAGTTCTGATTCCTAATCTATTGTCCTGATTATTATCGATTTGAAACCAGTTCTATCCAGTCTCAAATCAACTTAGACATGATCGATTCGGTTCTGGTTCTAAAATTACAGACCCTATAGGGTCTGGTTCAATTCTGAATCCTTGATATTTCTTGTCAGGTCGGTTCCTGTTCTACCCAGACCCGACCTATTGACAGCCCTACAAATAAGAAATTGACAGGGGAGAGTTCTGTAGGGCCACGTGCTCAGCCTCTACATCCTTGGACAAGGGCTGCAGATCCAGTGGTTAAAGTCATCTTTGATGGTTCAAAGCATGTATTGAACCCCATCTAAATCAAAATCAATTTGGACAGACCAATAAAACATTGAATTGGACCAATCCAGACTTAATGGTTCAAAGTATTTATCGAACTCGATTGGACCTGGTATATCCATATTGGATTGGGTCGGATTGAACCAATATCTGGTCCATTAAAAATACAGATGTCAATGGATCAGATTTGGGTTGGAATCAATCTTAGCTAAAACCATTTTGAAAAGATTGGACAGTTCAGACATTGAATTGGGCCAATCCAATATGGTCCATTGGATTGGATCTGGTCCATTTGTCAGCCCTACATTAAAAGGACCCTGAGACTTGAAATTAAAGCTCGTGCAGTGCAGCATGTGGGCTTGAACTTGATGGTGATCTCTTGTGGTTATTAACGGTCCTCCGGAGGTGGGCTCGAAGGTCTCCACATTCTTGGCGCATCAGAAATTGGATTGCTAATTGCACGACGCTTATATCGAGATTCCCTCAATGTGCAGTGATATTGATTTGGACTCAAAGGTCGGGTAATAAGGCTGCTCATGCAGTGAGCCTGTTATGGGCATGCCAGCCGGAAGCATACTGCGGCGCAGTCATAAGGTAATAGCACGCACAGCGGGCCGCCCAGCCGCACGCACCGCCTGGCAGCATGCAACACGCACCTGTTATGGGCCACCGCCCGGCAGCGCGCACCGCACCACACGGCAGCAGCACGTAGTCATAGGCAGCAGCACGCACAGCGGGCCGCCCA